GTATATATATAGAATATATCTAAAGAACTTATATTGAAATAATTGAAATATATTTTATGACACAAAATGTGTCATAACAACACACAGAAAACTTTTTAGTAGATACATTACACATTCTCAGCAGACCACATGAATCCACATACCCCTATGTTAAATGAGGCTTTTATTCATACCCCATTATTAAATTCTCATATGATGCCAACCTCCCATTAGCACTGGGAAACATGAAATTACCTGTTCCTCAAATCCTGAAAAGAAACAGATCTGATGCTTTTCTAATGAGGGACTTGGGGCAGGATTTTAAATAAAAGCTGTAAACATGAGTAACCCACTATTGTGATGGATTTCTCAGTTTCCTACACTGCAAAGGAGTATTATCATCTTTGGAGAGGAGAAACTGAAGATTTTCCTTCTTCTCTTGACAACAAGCAGGGATAGAGGGGGAGGCACTTTGTGCCATATGCTCTGTGCCCTTTAGCAAACACTGTGTTTTAATTAGAGCATTCCCACTCAGAGACAACGAGCACAAAGCCACAGTAAATATTACCTGCATATTTTTCTTGGACAGATTCATCCATAGACCAGAAGCAGTGATCGTAAGCAAACACCTGCAGGAAAACAACGAGGAGGACACCTTATAAAAACTGCCACTAAATCCAACATATTACCCACATTTTGACAGCACACATCATGCTCCTCAGGGCCATTCTGAACAGGACACACCCCCCCACAGAATTCGGTATTTTCTGGGAGTTTGGAGCCTAAACCAACTGCACCTTCCCTTATGCAATTCTGTTCTGTGCTTCCATTTGTGCCTTGGTTTTAGTTCTTCCTTTCCACTGTGTGGATCCTCATCCACGCTCTCCAAAGCCTCTCTCTGTGGCAGTGGAGTGGAACTCAAGGAGCTCTCCTCATCTTCCTTTAAACCCATCCTTGCAACTCGTTTTGTCACAAGACTCTCTGTTTTGCACACTGACACGTGTCCCCTGGCTCTCTCCCTGCCCTCTCCCCTTGTCTCTTGTCTGCATAAATTAAGAACTTGCCTTAGGGCAGGAGCCTCTTTCTGTGCAAGAGGAATATACTGCTGACAAAGAGGAGCAGCCATCCCCAAAACCCAATACTTGGAAAGAACAGTAAAGAGCCAATGAGTTTTATCATGAGTAGCACTAGAATCTTTTCCAATAGAAAAGTCTCAATTTTGTGGTAAATCCATTTAAAGCTGACCTCCAATAAGACATCTGGGGACAGGCTTTTGCAAAAAACAACTCCTCTGAGCATGAATTTGAATGAATGAAATGAACAACATGAATTTGAATGAATAAAAATAAAAATCCAGGTAATCTCTGACCTACATTCACATGGGTAAAACTTATTCTGTAGGATACAGGAACGGGAAGTGCAATGTGCTGCTCCTTGGCTGATTATTTCTCCTCCAAGCTTAACCAAGGCTGCTCTTTCCCCTTTCTCTTCCCCCTTTAGACATTCTGTGTTGCTACCTAGCTGATGTTTGCCTCACTTTGGATGGCAGAGCAAGAGCATAATGCCAGCAGCTGACCCCCACCCACCTCCTGAACCCTCCTGTCATTCTGTCTGAAAATTTCATTTCATCTGTTAACATATTTCCATGCTATGTTTTAGTGAGGCAGCAAGAGAGCAAATCTTCAAGCATGTAAACTAGAATAATTCAAAAAATGATGCAAGAGTTGAAAATCCATACTCCTCACCTTACATTTGTGAAAACGCTAATAGAGCAAAATCCTTGAAATTTAAATAATAGCTTCAAAAATATACTGCTTTTTTTCCCCTTATACTACACTAATGTGGAAGATGACAGTGGTTATTTTACATCCTCTAGCTGAGGAAACAACAGCCTGCTTACTTAAAATTAAGGCTTTTTTTGTTTCTTTGAATTTATTATACAATTAAATATATTTTTATACTACCCCACACCTTCAGAGCACTTAATAAAACATCCCTGGCTACCTGACCACAGCAACAACACTGAATCCTGACAGACTAGGATAGAGAGCCACATACTGAATTCAGTCACAGGATCATAAACAAGAACAACAAAAAATGAGTTTGCTTTAACACAAACCCCAGAAAATGCTTTTCAAAGCCCACAAATCCCAAGTAGTCCTCCCTTGCCAGTCCATAATGCTGAGTATGTATGTTCTCATTTGTTCCTGTGACTCATGTTTTGGCATGGGCTGTACAGTGCTCTTCTGAAACAAGGAGATGCTTTGAGTTTCTTCCTCAACAGCTGATCAACTGCTGAGCTGCTTCTCAAAATGCTTCTAATATTTGGATAACCCAAAAGTGAGTAAGTGAAGTGACAATTTTCCCACTCTCCTTTAACCAGCAATAAAACCTCTTACCTTTGGTTGGATCCTGCTGTTCCCCAGAGCATCAGGAGCAGAAAGGATTTGGTGCAGGGTTGGGGTAGGAAAAAGAAAGAGAAAATAAAAACAAAGACTGTTAGTTATACTGATTTTAGCTTAATTTACTTAATTACTTAATAATAATCATTAACCATTGGCACACTGTATTGAAAAAGCTCATTTCTCTCCTCAGATCTCCCCTTGCTTACAGATCCCAAGTCATTTTACAAGACAATGCTTAGCTCTCTTGGGGATTAAGGTTTGAGGTGCTGCTCTGAGTAAGTTGATTTGAAATTCAAAGCCACTGATTTTCCTCCAGTTGTGGAGAGCCAGAAGGTCTCCCCTGAGCCTCCTTTGCTCCAGGCTCAGCACCCCCAGCTCCCTCAGACACTCCTCAGAAGACCTGTGTGCTAGACCCCTCCCCAGCTTTGCTGCTCTTTGGACACACTCAAGCACAACACTCTACGTGGTCTCCTAAAAATAAAGTACAAGAGCAACATAAAATTCACAAAACCACTTGAACAGGAACTTCAGGAGAGCTATTCAAGAGGAAATTTCAGAGTCCAACCCTTGGACTTGCCCAACTCAGTTCTCTCATAGTTGCTGGGACAGCAGAGCAAACATTTGTTCCCCTAAAAGAATGAGCAGAGAGCAGCACTTCCTTGAATGTTATGGGCATAATTTAAAAGTTTGTTTGTTTGGGGGGAGATTCTTTTGGGGTTTTTTTTTAAACAAGAAGTACAAAATAACTGGAGTGACCTTTAAAATAACGACGCAGCACCAGCCAAAGCCCCAACAGCCTCTCCATGTACAGAAGTCTGCAGAAATGCAGCAAACACACAACAAAGATCTGATATCCTCCTTGTCCTGGACCTTCCAAATGAGATGAGAGACCTCTTGACATCAGTAACAAGTAAAGTCTTGTGACAAGCAGCACTGATTTCTTTTGAAGGGAGCAGGAGAAAGACATGGGAGCCATAGAAGATTACTCTCAGAGTTCTTGCTGCTCACATGGGTTGAAAAGCAAGTTTAAAAATAGTCGTTTCTCAGCATTGCCTCTACAAAAATAATTCTTTATTAAGCAAGTCCATCATCTCTCTTTACTCATGCTTGGATCTAATATGCATATCTGTTTGACAGAACAGGCACGATGGTGACTCTGGAGAGCAGTCAGTGTGCCCACCTACAGAGGATTTCAGTCAAGGTGACCCAGGACAGAGGTGTCACCGTGTCACTCCAGTGAGCAATAACAACACCAGCACTTTTCCCCTGCCATCCAACTGGAGTGCTGAAAAGCTCTCCCCTGGCTGGAGAAGAGAAGGCTCTGGAGAGACCTTATTGTGGCTCTTCAGTACTTAAAGGGGACCCAGGAGAAAGATGGGGACAGACATTTCAGCAGGGCTTGTTGTGACAGGTGACATCTGAAAGCAGAAGGGAGATTTAGACTAGAGAAAAGGAAGAAGCTGTTGCTGCTGAGGGTGGTGAGCCCCTGGCCCAGGCTGCCCAGAGAGGTGGTCGCTGCCCCATCCCTGGCACCATCCCAGGGGAGGTTGGATGGAGCTCTGAGCACCCTGCTCTAGCTGCAGATGTCCTTGCTCCCTGCAGGGGGGTTGGCTTGGGTGAACTTTAAAGGTCCCTTCTGCCCAAACCATTCTATGATACTATGATTCCAAGGTCTTTGGCAGCACTCTTGGCACAGACTCTCCACTGTCATTGCTGCTCCTGGGTGGCTCACAGAACCCCAGCATGGTGGGGTTGGAAGGGATCTCTGGGGATCATCTCATCCAACCCCCTGCTCCAGCAGCTCACCCACAGCAGGGTGCCCAGGGGCACAGGCAGGAGGGATTGGGATCTCTCCAGAGCCCGCGACCCCACCGC